CTTGTTTCCGGCGTGGGCGAATATCTTGACGGCTGTGAAGGCGAACTCATGACACATTTCGTGGGTGTGAGCAGCAACTTACATTAATTCGTCGTCCCGTCACACAGCCAAATTAAGCGGAAAGGATATCCTAAGGCTTTTATAAGCCTACGCCAAGGAGTTCAGCCTCGGAGGACCAGAAGACAATCACCACCAAGAATATGACACGCTGTCATACATCAGGGATGTCTCAGAAGCGACTGGGTGCATCGCTGTGGGACCAGGTGTTGGAATTGCACGGCGACCCAAGGCTGCTATGCGCAGCAGGCGCTGGACTCCGATAAGAATCCGGAAGGTCACACGACCGACAGTCATGTTTAAGTATGTTTAACAGGACACTTTGGCTTGTAAATATTTTAATAAAGATGGCATAAACTTGCAGCTCTCTCTAGTATATTGGTTTCAAGCTGCATTCTCGATCAAAATTTCGTCTAGTATTCTCTCTTATACAAACGACTTGCGCGAGAACCATACACTGCACTTGGAGGAGTTATTACTATGTGCGACAGTCTGATGGCGCCATTCAGGGGGTCGAATTAAAATATGGGGACTTGGTGAAAAATGACCTTGACAGCATCACTTATCAAGCGGTCAGCTGGGACGGCACACCAGCTGGCTAAGTGGATTGAGCGTAGGGAAAGAAAATCCTTCATTATGCGGCTGCGATATTTAGTCAACTGAATGAGTAATGACGAAAGACGTCGTAATTACGAGCACAGAGACCCTAAATGGGCCGTTGTGTTGAAGGAATACTAAGCGAGGATCGAGCAGGCTTGTGACCCGTGGAGACTTCATAGCGCATGATCTTAACTCCATCTGGTTTAATTAGGCCTAATCACTGGTACGATATACCGCGACAAAAATTAAATGCAAGCCGTAATTGGACAGTGGAATTCTTTCCGAGTGGGCATACGATGGATCTCAGGTAGACCTCGGAATCCCGGCATGACCGTCGTTACCGACTATGTCCACGCACGTACCCTAGAGAGGAACTTGTGTGTGTGAATTAGGTTATAGTGATTGCGGACTTGCACGGCATCTACCACAAGGATCAAAAAGACCGAAAGCAGGATCGGGCGTGGACGGTTAGCGTGACGTAATTGGCGCATATGCTTTGATTAATTAATCTAGTTCGACGCGGACTGGAAGGCGCAAATATTCCACAAATCTAAAGTAGATTGCATATCTGATGAAATGTGAAGATCAAGATTTTATTAGGGGATTTAACACACATTTGA